GAAGGAATAGTGGTGTTTCTTTGTTAAGTCTTATTATGAGAAGCTTCTGGGCATGGAGGAATCAGCTTTTCCATATCTCTCTGTATAGATCCTGAGGTTTTCGAGAAAGGTGTGCTTCTTCACCTAGTTAGCTACGAGACGGGTGATCCTGACGGCTGATAATTTGAGGAAGAGGAAGAGGAAGATTACATGTATCAGCTGGTGTTTTATGTGTAAATGTTCGGGAGAAGATGTGAATCATCTTCTTCTAAATTGTCATATAGTGTCTCGTTTGTGGTTGGAAGTACTGGGACGGTTTGGTCTTCAACGGTGATGCCACACTCAGTCAAAGAAGCCATGTTCAGCTGGACCTATAGAAGACGGAAAAGAAGACGCAGGCCGTGGATCCTGAGGTTTTCGAGAAAGGTGTGCTTCTTCACCTAGTTAGCTACGAGGGGGGTGATCTTGACGGCTGATAATTTGAGGAAGAGGAAGATTACATGTATCAGCTGGTGTTTCATGTGTAAATGTTCGGGAGAAGATGTGAATCATCTTCTTCTAAATTGTCATATAGTGTCTCGTTTGTGGTTGGAAGTACTGGGATGGTTTGGTCTTCAACGGTGATGCCACACTCAGTCAAAGAAGCCACGTTCAGCTGGACCTATAGAAGACGCAGGGCGTGGATGTTGCTCCATTGAACTTATGTGGACCGTGAGCAGAGAAATAGGAGAGCTTTTGAAGGAATAGAGAAGGATTTTGTACATTTGAGGAAAAGCCTCTTATCCCTTTATCTCTTTTTGGTGCACCGATGAGATCCCTACAAGTATAGAAGATAGGGTGTTGTTCATAGAAAATCATATTTTTGTAAGGTATTCTACTTTTTGGTATACTTCTTCTATACGGGCGAGTTTTTGCCCTTTTCCAGTAAAACTTGATTACCTTATAAAAAGCTCACCGTAATGATGAAACTTCCCTTGTATACTCGCCTTACTTCCATATTATGTGTCGTCTTTTATGTTACAAAGATTTATTGTATACGATTCGTACTGACACATGTGGTGCTAGTGATGAATAGAGAATACCCCTAGTGTGAGAATTTGTGCAGGGAGTTCATTGTACAAATGAAATTATTTCCTATTTTTGATCCTTTGGATGGCCAAAATGCTTCAGATGCTTAGAAAATAACTAGTTTTTATAACTTTCACATGCTTTAAGAATTCAAATTTACACAACTCTTTTAAGTGTAGATGGTGATTTCCAACTATCAAACCATTTCTTACGACCTACTTCAGCAAGTTTCTGCTTACAGTCCAATCAAAGTGTGTTAGAGAAATATGTTCAATATATTTGACTTCTTGATAAGTAACTTTATCTGGTAATCGATAGTAAAGTGTGACTTCTGCACAAGTTTCTTGCATATTTTATCATCAGTGGTTCCAGAAAGCATTATATTTTTGAAGTAAAAGTTGAATGTCAAAAACCTGCAAGCTACATTGATGCATTCTCTGTCCAAAATGCCCACAGGATGGATGCCTTCATCCTCCACGTCCCCTAGTATAACAGGTAGCTGACTTAGATCATGTTTCTCCATAAGAGTTAGAGCAGAAAGGAGATCTGTGTTTGGAGTCACTGTGCATGATACCCGGCACTTATAGCCATTTGAAGAGCAAACTCCAGCTACTACAAGCTCCTGAA